ATCAACGCATGCCTTGAGTCTAAGAAAGTAACCAAGAAATCACTGATTATCTTGAAATTATGAAAAAAAAAATATGAATTAAGTTGAGAGCAAGTTTACTATCGAGAAATTTACCAATTAATGCAAATTCGAAAGAGGTTGCAAGAGCAAGGATCTCATCTTCCAAAATCCTCATCAACGATAAACCATGATGGGTATTGGTTTTAAGGTCAGGAAAAGCCACCAAAGGGGAAGTCCCTTATAGGGTATCTAAAAAGGAATGAGAGTTCTTTTGCCAATTTAAGAATCAGGATCATTTAACCGATTGACCGCCATGCAAGCTGTAAAAATGGCCGAAGGCAGAAAAGTCAGAAGAACAAAAATAAGAGCACAAGAAGCCATAGAGAAGGAGCCGAGGATGAGAGAAATAACTTCTCTAAAATTGAAGCAAGCATCGAGGGCCACGGACAGACATACATCAAGGAGAGCGGCTAGGGCAAAAATCCTAGCAGAGCAAAGTGAAGCTGAGGCGCATCCTGGATTGATAAAGTAAATGTTACTTATAAATATCATGAGAACTTTTATATATTTAATATAATAATGCCCTCAAAATACTTTCAATCAAACTATATTATGTAATAGTCTTGATTAGTTGTTACGACCAACACATTATTACACATGCCATGAATAGTTCTTCTTTCATATATGAATCCCCCCTAAGTTACATATGGCTAATGCATCTATGATGGCAACCTATGATGATACACTAGGTGATGTATCACATAGGCCATTCATTAACACACCTATTATTAATTTTTTTATCTCATATGTGGCCAGTAAATTAGTCGTTATAATAAAGAGTGAGAAACCATGAACTTAAACTCCCTAATATTACATTTGATGATCATTTCCTCCATGATAAGGAAACTATAGCTATTAATCATGAAGTACGCAAATATGTTCTACGATATATATATATATATATCCCGTTAAAATTTTGAGTTTTGACCAATTTCTTTTTGGTGATCATACTCTTAAAGCACTTTTGGCTGACCATAGGTCTTCTCTCTTCACACTAAATGGTTAAAGTTACTACAATCTAGCTTCACTTATTATTATCATTTGCATAGTATTACATTAACATGAACCTCCCTTTCATAGTCTCTATGCAAATGTACCACACTTATGTGACATGAGTGTTAATGATCACATTTGTATTATATTTTAAATTTATCCTAAATATAAGCATATTGATAATAACTAACAATACATGAAGATTATATTTTAATTTGGAATATTAAATTATATGATTACAATCTAAATTTAATTTTTATCATATATTTTAGCCCTCTTTTAATTACATATTTAATGATAACATATTATTTCACATAGATAAGATATAATTTCAAGGCAACAAAATAAAATTACACTTATATGCATAATGCATGTCCTTGCTAGGCTTGATATAAATCTAATTGCCAGAACCTTTTGAAGCATCCTTACATCTTTGCTCCATAGATGTATAAAGCCCAATGTAATGGGGGAGGGGTTGATAAGTAGGCTACAAGTATGATAGATAGTAGTATATGGATGGGACATGATGGGATGGTGGTGGAGGTGGTTATGGATAAAATAATGTGATTTGTGTATGGTCGAGGAAATGGAAAATTGAATTATGAACTATAAAGCTATGAAGGTGGTGTACTTCATGTGGTATCTAAAGGAGGTGTTTTTTTTTTTTTGCCTCTCACCATAACTTGACCTAGTTAGTCCAAAAGTCAGCTTCTTCCTACAAGCAATTTAGTACAATATAAAATGTAGTAACATACATCTCTTTATCATTCAAATATTTTGGCAGGCATTTTCCTTGTCTTACATCGAACATGAAAAATTGCTAATGATGATTGACTTAGTTCACCTGTAAACACGTCTATATTACTTCCAACTCTTGTTCTACTTTCGATATGTGGTTCAAAGTAGTAAGAACAAAAATGTGTTATCTTCTATACTATATATGCTTCACAGATGATACCTTTTAGATGTGCTTTATTCTCTATTGGTATTTTAATCTTATTTCAAAATTTATAGTATAGTTTAAAAATGCATCTTTATTTCTCCTAAATGCATGATCAACATGCAAGAAATATGATGACAATCAAACCATAATTTATTTTCTTCATATTTTAGTGTGAATGCTTTACATAATTCAATGCAATAAGGGAAAACCAACTTTCCTGCAGTGCTCCAACTTGATCATATCCAATACATTGAAAAGTCACCAATAGTCGACAATATTATTGCTTTTTCCTAGAATTTCTATTTTCTAAAAATATCATATGTGAGTTACACTAATCATGAGTATCCACCATCAACAACCATACATATCAGTGAGTATCACCATATCTTATTCATATACCATATTTTGATGCCATCAAGGTTGATGACAACAACGCCATATTCTAATCAAGTTTAGGCAACAACACTAACCCCACCTCAAGCTACATCATCAAATTATCCACAACGAGTAATCCATCAAACAGCTCCAATGGAAATGATGCATGATCATGTTGATGCTGAAGACCTACAACATTTGTGAGATCACCCAGTTTGTACTCTGATCACTAGGCACCTAAGACTAATGTTATGCCACATATTCTATCATGGACATTATAATGTTACATGTTTTCTATTTCATTCATAATTTATCACAGTTTTTAATTAATATTGTTTGTATTTTGAATGAATCAATATAATGTTACAAAATTTATTGTTCTCAATATAATACTCCATGTAATAAATTAATGTAAATTGTCACATTTAGGTTCAACATTCTTTTTAGAAATCCTTATTTCATAAGAAGTGAATGAAACAAGGGGTTTAATAACCAAAAGTCAAAACTTCTTCTTTATAACAAGTTCATTGAATAAGTACAACTACTAATGAATAATCTTTGTTGCACATAAAGAGGATTGAAAAAAGATATTTATAGATGCAACATTAAATAGTTTAAATGTAACACAAATATCAGAGCATGAACATCTTCTATAAATCCTTTAGAAGCATCACTTAAGAATGTCTTAATCATTCAATTTTCTCTTCTTTCTCAAGTCTATAATTGGTTTTGTGTGATGGTGTGACTTAGTTTACACTCTTAGTTGAACTTGTTTTGGATATCCTACCAATCCTCCCCTTCTAAAACCTTCTTTTTATTTTGATCAAGATGTGTGAACATAGTTCAAAAACACACATTTCCCATATGATTTTATCCTGGTCTTTTCTCTACTCTCGATATGAAACACCATTAGAGTATAGGCCCACTTGACCCTCGACATTTGTAAGTTTCATGCTCAATATGCCTACAAATCAAATGGTGAGTTATCTTGATAAATCTCTTATGAACTAATATTCAACCAACTCCAGTAAAAGAATCACTATATTATCCTTATTAATAATCAACATAATAATATTCTTATGCATCATCAATGCCTCTAAATGCAATCACATCAACAATTCTTCAGCCTCCTATATCCATCAATGTTTACAACATCAATTGATCTGATTTGCTAGCTCATATGAACCTTGAGCTAGCTCTTGTGAGTACCAAAAGAAGTACAAGTTCTTCAACCCCCACTAATACATATCTTATATTATAGCTTCAACTCTTTCTTATCAATCTACTAATCAATTTTCTCTACCTTCTTATATCTAATTTTATTAAAGAGTCATATCTTTAATAGCAGCCTCAATATCAGCTACTTCCTAAAACTCTCCCTTAATAATCTCATGTGTTTGTGCTAGTCATTTTATTGATACAATCCTCCTCTTCAAACAAAAAATAAAAATAAAAATTCTTCCATCACCTTTCATAAAACCTCAATTAAAACTCTATAGAAAAACTTTAAAGAACCTTGGAATCAATCAGCAAAATAAAAAATCATTTCTAAATAAAGGCTTCATTTAGAATAACTTTAGACTACTATTTTTCCCTAGCTTTTAAATATTTTTATATTAAAAAGTTGCTTTATAAAGCAGTAAGAAAACCATCTCAAATAAAACCAAAATCATACACAACTATGATTTCAATAAATAAATAGTAACCCAAAAACAATTAATTCACTTATTAATCTACACTTTGAAAGCATTAATGCAACAGAAATTCATTTAAAATTTTCAAGGCGGGAATCTCTGTCCAAATCTTGTCAATCAAATAAAATTTGTCCAAATCTTGCCAATCAAATAAAAATTATTAGATTTATTTTGAGCTGAGAATTTTAAATTAAATTTTAAATTTTAAAGCATTCACACTCCTAAAATTAAATTCAATATCCTCAACAGAATTTGATTAAATTATAAACATACAAAGAATTTTTAAAAGCGAGAGGAGCCAGCCTATAAAGTCTCTTAGAATCAATCAAGCAAAATTACAAAACAAGGAAGCTATCTAGATAAATCCAAATATAAAGATCCGAACAAATTATGATTATTATAAACAAATTATGATTATTACATTGCAAAGCTATAGAATTTAATATCATGAAACTTGAGCAACAATATAACTGACCAAAGTTGGATTTGAGACATCCAAATTCCGCCCTTAGTTGGCCTTCAAATCTATGAAGCGACACAAAAGCTTCGTTCGGGCAACTTTCTTACTTTTTTTTTAAACAGTTTTTTAGTAAAAAATTTCTAAGGAAAACTATTTTAGAAAGCTATCACAAACCAAGTTGGCTTCATTTGGAACAGCTTTCCAACTGCTTTTTAATAAAAAAAAATTATACTAAAAAATTGCTTTAAAAAACAATAAGAAGACCATCCCAAATCCCAATTGAAGCCTTATCATATCGGATGATTAGTTTGCGTGAACTACTTTGATAGTCATAAAGTAAAATAAATAATAGGTTAGCTGAGCTTACAAGTTATCTAGCTCTGAAGCTGCACTTTATTGGTCCAACTACCAGCATACAAACAAATCTAATATAAACATACCAACTACAATTTGGCTCATCTAATAGCCCAATCAGTGATGCTAAAATATTTTTTTCATTGATGGCTGCTAGAAAAGTTAGTGGCCAAGCTCGATTCCACATATTAGAAAAATCTCGAGGACATTAAAAACAAGAGTTCAAATATAGTATTCTACAAGAAAATTACCCTAAACTTTAATGATTATAAGGTAAGATGTTTAGCAGAAACAAGTGCACAGAGAGTAAACATGGCCATTGAAGCTCTGCTGAATTTAGCAATAGCATGTTACAGAGATGATTGACAAAGAACAGCACGCATAATTCATTTTCATGGCTACAGGCTTCAAAATGTTTATATTTGCTTTGGAGGCTGAGCACTATGGGATATTTTTTTCTCTTCGAAACTGCTATGCCAGGCATCGATCGTATCTTGGATTTGTGTAGAAAAACTGCAAAATAAGCAAACCTATAAATATTGCATTGTCTTTCTATTTCATCTAATTTAGACCTCGTTTGGGATGGCTTTCTTACTGTTTCTTAAAGCAGTTTTTTAGAACAAAAATTAGAACTTTTTTTGTTACTAAAAAGTTATTTTAAAAAGTAATAAAAAAAACCGTCCCCAAACGAAACCTTAAGTTACATTCTCATCCAGCTTTTGGACACAAACCAAATGATGCAGTAGTGATTAAGAAATGTCAGCTGTATATAAACTGCTGATTCAGATCCCAGTCTCTAATTCTTTTTGCTAAAATCTTATGGCAAGCACTTCTTATAATAAAACTCAATATTAAGAAAACAAATCATTGTTATACTACATCTTGTTATCTTCGGTAATATTTCATTCATTCCTGGGTAGCTCCAATACAATGATAATAAAGCATTTTTTAAGCACCCGCTACTTAGGATCTGTTTGTGACAGATTTCTCTAATCATTGATTTTTAGATAATAATCATAATTTTAATTAGGCTATTATTTTTTATTTCTTTCTCATCATTTTTCAAAATTTTCTGTGATGAAAATTTGTTTTTTCATTACCAGAATAGTTAATAATTATTTTCCCCACAACAACTTTATAAAGTGCTACAACAGTCCCAAAAAGAGGGTTAATAAATGCATAAACATTAGACTAGAGGTCTGAAGCATGGTTTATTTCTTCCATCTGAACAGAAAAAGAAGGCTATTTCCTTATATTACCGGAAAGTTAAAAAGGAGTTACCTTTTCATTCCTTGGGTATTTGGTTTTCAGGCTGTGAGAAAAATTGTTTGGCATTTTTTGCAACCTCTGCTTCCACAATTGCTTCATGCAGAATATCTGATCCTTTCACGTCATCTGAAATCATATTAACCACAAAAAAATTTCAAGAAAAGTCTTGATTTGCATGAAAACATGAGTAGCGAAGGTGAAAGGTGAATGATGAACCATGCACAAGCGAGATCAAACGTATAGTCAAGAGCTATACATAATAGGCAAGTGGATAAATAAAAAAAAAACATTGCCAAAGTCACTATAGACTATATGAATGGTGTTTAGCATACCGGCTGTGAAATTAAATAAACATAAAATCACCAACCTCTATTCTTAAATATAAATAGGAAAACATTTCATGCTGTGTTCCAATTAAATGGAAGTTGCTCAGATATTCTTCCAAGTTCAATGTATTAATGCTGCGTTTTTTTTCCGGAGATTATTGGCAAAGACCATTTCGTAATAGAATAAAAAAAAAATTTAAAAGAAATAAATAAAAAAATAAAAAATAATTTAAAAAAAAAAACCATTTCATAATAGAACATTCTTTTAGGAAATGTTATGCTAGGCTTGAGCAAATACAATTAGATTCCATCTGAATATAAACTATTATATGAGTTTATGTTATAAAGGGAAGTAATACAGCTTATCAAATTTATACCTTAAACGTGGCAAGGCCAAAGAAAAAATATGGTTCATGAATTTCCGGAATATGCAAAGGATAGCTAAAGGAAATGTTGATACAACAAACTACTATGTTCATCAAGTACATGCAAATAAAATATCCATGATTTGAAAATAATTAGATTCATTAGGGACTTTAGAAAGTCATAAGAATAAATTATGCTTGACAATAGAAAAATAATCCTAAAATAATTTATCCCCCTTAAAAAATAAAAACAGAGAACAATAGCACAGGAGAGAGATCACACATGTATCAGTTTATAGGTTTATAACATTTACATGGACTAAAAATTTGGTTCAAGTTAAATTTCTGTAACTTTTTAGTTACAGACAGTTTTGGAAAGAAAACATGTTCCAAGGGAAATGCAATATGGCTACATGCTGTTTTAATAGCACATTTTGTTTCCAGACAGAAAATTGAGCAAATTATGTAACAAGTAAAATACACTTTGAGCCTTGTATTTGACAAGTTTCTAGCAAATTTTTAATGGTTTGTGACTAGTTGAAATTACATTTTGAGGCAATTCACTAGTTATTAGAAAATTTTTAATGATTTGAGGCTCGTTAAATTACTTGTTGATGATATAATATAATACATAACAGTATCTAATCACTTTAAAAGGACCTAATACACAAGCTAAATAAATCCTATCCTTTCTTTCAGCAGTTTGTGGTGGTTCTAAGATTCTAGAACTAATAAAAATTAAGCATATTTTGCACTGATGCATGAAATCATGAATGAAAGGACTTTCAGGTTGTTTGTTTCAAAGCAAATGTTAATAGAAGTATAAAGATGAGATCCTTTACAAACCACCCGAGATGAAATACTCCACAAGTAGGAAGCAATTCTCTTTTGGTTAGTGAGTGGAGAAGTAGATGACAAAAACCAATCATGCTCATCGTTGCTCAAAGCCACATTAAGTTGTAGGTAATTGATGGATCCGATCAGAAAGAAAAATTAGTTTATAAATATCTTTCAACTTGGTTCCTTAACCAAAAGACCCATTGACATTTACTATACAAATAAACAAAGGGGTGATTTTCTAGGGCATCGCAAACAAATCTAGACAAAATAACTGTTTTACATGATTTACTTCTATGTTCAAAACGTCGACCTTCCGATGGCCCAGTTAGGAGAGTACATGTATTATATTTGACCTATGTTAAGAAAGGTATAGGTAGACCTAAAAACACTTAGTTAGAAAGTATTAAAAATGAGTTTTTTCTTAATTATATCTAAATGAGAATTTGACTTTTAATATGACACAATAGAGAATAAGGATTAATGTAGCCAGCCCCACATAGTGCAATAAAGGCTTGATGTTCTTGTTGTTTAAGTTTCAAATTTTCCTAACACAATTTCAACTAACCTTCCTTAAAAGCATTAGTCAATTTATCTTTGAAATTGTTATCATAGAGACTTTAACAAGTTCAAAATAAACAATTATAAGATATTCAATATTTATTCTCTGATGCACCGACACTTCGTTTTAAGAGGGTATATAGTGTCGAACATGGACACGCGTCCGAAACGGCGAGGACACGTGTCGGACACGTAACTAGTGTGTCCTATTTTAAAAAAAAAATAATTAAACCGGACACGAGTGTCCGGCTATTATATAATTAAATAAATAAATAAGCCCTAATCCCGCTATTTCATATTAACCGGTTCACGCCCAAGTCTTCATCTTCTCCTTAACTCCGTATTCCTATTCGTATTCGTGGTCTTCCAGAGCGATTAAGGCGAGCAGCAGTCGGCTAGAGATCGTACCCTTGGTCTTCCCTTCTGGCCGTAAGCAACAAGCCATCCTCCTTACTTTCTGAGCGCAGCCAAGGGAAACCGACGCTAAACCGCATAAAATTTTTCAAACCTGTAAGTTGATTTCGTCATTTTTTTCTCAATTCGCCATTCCTACTCATTTATCAATGATTTTGTAGATTTGTGATTAGAAGAGCATTTTTTTAAGTATTTTATTTGTTTTGGATTAAAATTATTCTTACAATAAAAATTTATTTATTTAATGTATTTTAACTGCGCTTTTGTTGCGCTTTCACTACGCTTTAAGTGCGCTTTCACTGCGCTTTTGTTGTGATTTCACTGCGTTTTTGTTGCACTTTTGTTGCGCTTTCACTACGCTTTCACTCTTTCACTGCGTTTTTGCTTTCACTCTTACCCCCGGAAACCCCCGTAGGGGCACTGCCCCTTGACCCCCACAGGTCGAACCCTACTAGGGGGCAGCACCCCCTTGGACCCCCGGCATAGTTGCAAATTTTAATTATTTTTAGTCAGATAATCATAACGCATGATGCAATAGTTCTTTAATTGTTTTTTAACTTTGTTTGGCAATTTTTAATTCTTTTACAATAAGTTTTTATTTATTCTACTTCACCGGTGAATTTAATAGCAAAATGAGCTCAAGTGCTAGTGGGAGTGATTCAAAAGAGTCATCTGTAAAAACTGATAAGCCATTATGGATTCATGTTACAAAGTTAGAAAAAAATTTTGAAGGAGGAGGGAATGTGTCATTCAAATGCAATTATTGTGGTGACACCTACAAAGGATCTTATTCTAGGGTGAAAGCATATCTACTTAAGATTTCTGGCCATGGAATTAAAATGTGTCCTAAGATTACTACGTCACAGTTGATTGAATTGAATAGACAAATTGATGAAGCTGAATCTATGATCAAAATGGCACTTCCTAAAGAGATATCTTTTCCATCTACCCATGGTTCATCCCACACTTCTTCCTCATCTGTTAGAGTTGATCATTCATTATCATATAAAAGTGAAGGATATGATTCAAAGAAAAGAAAGGAGTTGTCAATAATGCTTTAGAGAAGACTTTTAACATGCAGCAGCGAGAGGAATTGGATGGTGAAATTGCAATGATGTTTTTTTCAGCTGGACTTTCTTTCAACCTTACAAGAAATTCTCATTACAAAAATGCATTTACTTTTGCATGTAATAACAACCTTGTAGATTATGTTCCATCTGGGAAAGATATGCTTGAAACGATATTTCCCAAATGAGGAGGAGAGAAGAAAAATTAATATAGAACTTGTAAAGTTCTTTGGATATTTAGAGGATTTTGGTGATAAAAAATCTTTGGTTGATAGATGGAGGATGGATCCAAAAATGTGGTGGTTGATTCATTGAGCTTCAGCACCGCTTCTTCAAACCATAGCAATAAAATGTCATGATCAATTATCATCCTCTTCCTGTAGTGAAAGAAATTGGAGCACATACTCATTTATTCAATCAATGAAGAGGAATTAAATAACTCCATAATGGGCTGAAGATTTAATTTATGTGCATACAAATCTTCGTCTTCTATCAAGAAAAATCCCATTTTATATGACAGGTGATAACAAGATGTGGGATGTTGCTGGAGATGGGTCGAGTGACTTGATGATATGGGATTATTAGAGGTTGCAAATCTTTCTCTAGATGAACCAGAGTTGGTAACAATGATATTCAATGATGATGATATTGAAGGCCAAAGACCAACCTCTGAATCTAATTCTATCTTTCCCTCTATTGAGTAGTTGGACCTTCATGTTGTACTAAATGATTTTTTTGCTTATATTTTTGTGGTTGTATTAAACATCTTTATGTTATAAGCTAAACAATTTATCATGACTTTGATTTATTATTGCTTTCCATTTTTAATATAATGTTATCTTAATTTATATATTATATTAAAAATTTATTATGTCGTGTCCACAGCGTACCCGTGTCCTATATTTTTAAAAAATATCGTGTCTCGTGTCCATGTCGTCGTGTACATGTCGGTGCATCATAGTATTTATTCTATACTATATTTTATAATTGAGAATATTCACTTCATTTTTTTCTATATATTATATCTATTGTATTTATCTATATATGAGAACAAACATACACAAGTGATAGGATGCATTTGGTACATACATGCATGAAGGTTGTAGGCAGTAGGAGTTGCAGACGTTAAATGTTAGTGGAAGAAGAGATTATGATAGGTGTGAGTAGCAACAAGTTGTGGGGTTGCAGGTGGAAGCACATAACAAGCAAGCACAGTGACTGCACAAGTCAAGGGAGTGCAAGGTGAAGGCGCATGGAAAAACGTATTGCACTAGCAAGTGTAGTGCTTGGGCAGAGTGAGAGTGATGAAGTTGGCATAATGCATAAGCAAACGAGCTAAGTGGACATAGGCAAGGGAAGAGGCTTTCCATCTTTCATTCATCTTCCCTTCATTGAAAAAAATGATCCATAGCATTCCACAAGTCATGCTTGATAATGTGCCAATATGATTTAAAAAAAAGAATAAGACATACCATCATATCCCGGAGCAATATTCCCACCAAGATCCTTGATAAACTTCTCCAATTCATCAAAAGAAAAATCTCTACTCAACATCT